GCCTGGCCTGGGAGCTGCTCGGCCTCTAGGGGCCAGGACGGTGCTGAAGACGCAGCATGGCAGTTTGGCTGGGCCTGACCCAGAGGAACTCTGCCCACCCCAACCCCCAGGTTAGCCCAGCGCTGCTGTCGCGGCTCCGGGGGTCCCCACTCTTGGTCTTGGAGGCCTGAGATGGCTGTGCATCTCCTGCTCTGGCGGCCTCTGAGCCTTGCAGTCCTGGCCTGAATCTCAGCACTGCCCCTTCCTGCCTCTGGGAGGCGCAAACTGAGGGCAGCCTGCTGCTCCTCGGTGAGGGGAAGGAAGGACCCTGTTGACCCCAGTGTGTCCCCGGGTGTGAGCTTCTGGCCAGGCACAGCGGCTCAGGGAAACCAGGACTCTGTACGACTTTGTCCTATTTGCTCCTTTTATGATAAAAGGCCAGTGAGAGGCAGGTCCACAGTCCTGCTGGCCATGTGAGGACCAGTGCAGGGGAGGTCGATGGTGCATGGGCAGCCCCCGCGACATTGAGAGCCGAAGGGTCCAGCCACCCATCCACCTGGGAGCCCTAAAGCCTGAGGGTCCCTGCAGTCCAGACACATGGCAGTCAGACATCTAGCGAGTTCGTCTGGCTGCAGGTGGAAACACAGCCCTTTCTCCCACCCTCCCTGCATCCATGGTTACCAGAACTTGCGGTGTGCTGGTGGCTAGAGACAGAGCCAGTCGCCCAGCTGGCCCTGTCAGCCCAAGGCACTCGCCCAGCCTGGAACCTCTGAGCATTTGGCCCATCTCCCCGCCTCCTCCATGAGTCCAAGGACCACCCACCCCAACGTCCCGCAGTCCTCTGGCAACTTCCTCACGCCCCCGGCTTGGTGGGCAGTGACAACACAGGAGATGATGCTTCCCAACAGTCCCTGAAGGCCAGGCCTCAGCAGGGTCGGCTCTGCAGACCCTCCCGAGAGCTTGAGAGGCTTCCTGGGTCACACACAGGACAGGCATAGGATCCAGGCTGGCTGACCCCACGCCCTACTCACCCGCCCATATTTGGGGAACGGCAAGGTTGTCCGGATTAGGATTAGGAACAATAAAAGCGATTAGAGTTTGTCCTCCTTCCTCCTGGGCACAAGCGGGCAAAGGTTTCCAGTTCGGAGACACTCTATCCGTCCCACGGGGCCTCTGTCAGGATGACCAGCAGCATCTCCCTTTGGAGCTCACACGGCTTGCGTGAGCAGGCCTCACAGCCCCCTTCACCAGGTGGGGCTTCTGAGAAGGGAGAGCCCCTGGGGGGCAGCCAGGGCCTACCAGCCCCCCAGCCTGTTGCTGAGCAGAGCCAGCCCCAGTACAGGGGGAGGGGGGAGGCTGTCTTTTCTGTACTGGGCTTTTGGGTTCTCACTCTGCTTTGGGGCAGCTTGGCGGGCTCCCCACCCCCCACACTGCCCACAGGACCCCACACCTCTTCATCTCGGGGATCCTCTCAACAGCCGTGGGAGTGGGAGGAAGGGACGGGGCTGGGAAACTGGAAACTTGTTCCCACCCAGAGGGCGATCACTCAGTGGGTCACAGAATCAGGGGCTCTGCAGGAGTCCTGGGGTTCGGCTCTCTGTTCTTCCCATGAGGACACCAAGGCCCAGGAGGCTCTAGGCCTGGCCCAGAGTAGGCAGCAAGCAGTGCCCATGAGGGGCCCAGAGGCTGGGCTCCTTGTTCTGCCCATTCCTGGTCCCTTGCATCGTTTAGGAGCTAGTGTGGGTAGAGGACTTCGGGGTGGCTTAGGAAACTGCTCTTGCTCAGGGCTGGGCACGAGCTCTCTGAAAATTGTGGCAGAGCCTCAGGGGAAATGTGACCATGTTCAGGGTGTGGGTCAGCCAGGCCCCTCCCTGGGCCCCTGGAAGCTGCCCCCAGCCGGCCCCCCGGCAGGCCCCCAGCCTAATCCAGCTTAGTGAACACACATTGCACAGCCTAGCTCAGCGTTCCAGGGCAGCAGGGCCGGACCAGCGCCTGCCTCTCTCTGTGGCGTGGCTGGGATGGGGCCTAGAGAAGGCCGGCCGCGGCAGAGGAGACCCTGAGAGTTGAGGATGGACACCAGGTAGGCGCAGCAGGGTGGGAGGGGTGGATGAGCTCTCCGCAGCCCATACAGTGACCGGGCCGCTTCCTCTGCTGCAGATGACCCCTCGTCTAGGAGCAGTGGCAAAGCCCTTGGTCCAGCCACAGGAGCCCCTCTCTATCGGCGTGCGGCACCCTCTGCCCTGCCCTCGTCTTTAGGGGACTGTGACACTCTATGACCTTCATGTACCCAGCCCGGCTACGTGAGGCCCCAGCTGTCCTGGGGATTTGGCTTCCCGTCCCCTGCTGCTCCATACCCTTGGGCCTGCGGTGGCGGCGAGGTGGAGGTCACAGCCAGCCAGGCCGTCAGCCAGCAGGCCTGGCCACCGGGGCAGTGGGCAGTGTCCTCAGCCACAAGGATGGGTGCTGGGAGCAGGTGTCGCGGGGGCATGGCTGATTCCTGGTGCTTGAACAGGGTTATTCCCTGACATCCTTACTAGCGAGCATCTCCTGGAGCCCGGCTCCCCCTCCAGGAAGGCCACAGAATCCCTCAAGGGGCCCCCAGGCCGTGAAATCCAGCCGTACAGAGTGGTGGCAGGGCTGGTTCCGGGCCCTGGGAGACTGCAGGTGAGGTCCACGGGGACTTTGACTCCGGCCCTACACACACTGCCTTGTGGCCTTGGGCAAGTGCCTTGGCCTCCCTGAGCCTCCATTAAAACAGCGACCTCCATGCTTGCCAGAATGCCCCAGACGGTTCTGGCCACCGAGGTGTGTGGCGTGCGGGAGGTGGGGCTGGCGACAGAATAAGCAGATGTGTTTGGGACGGAGCCAGAGGCGAGGGTGACATGTGCCTGGTGGCCACACGTGAGTAGCATGGGGATGATGGGGCCCCGGGAGATGAGGCTGGAGAGGATTTGGGGCCAGGTCTGTGAGAGGCTGTCAGCTATTCCTCGAAATACGACAAACATTCCATTTTCCCTTGGAAGAGAAAATGGTTGTTTCTAAGGCAGCTAAGAGCTCGAGCACCTCAGAACCTCAAGACTGGGAGAGAGGGAGCCTGATTCATCTTTTCCCCTTTGCTCTTGTGGTGCAGTCTCTCTTGTCTCCAGAGCCTCGTAAACGCATAAGGAGATTTCTCTACTCCCGCCCCAACCTGGGCCGGGTCACCTGCCAGTATAAATCCCTGCCCCTTCTGGAGAAGCTGGTTACAGTGGCTTAGGTGTGGCCAGGCAGGGACCTTTCGGGGAGAGTGGGGAAGCTCCTGAATCTGAGGTGGAGTGAATACACCTCCTCCCCAGAGCCTTGCAGGGGAGCTGCTGGAGACTGAGCCTCAGTCTCCTCATATGTCAATTGGGGATGATCCCACTCCTCCTACCTTGAGGATTTTGCCGGGCCGGGGTGGACAGGGAACCTGGGAGCGCAGGCTCGGTCAGATAGGAGCGTTCTGTCTCACAGGACATGGGCTCAGAGGGGCAGAGTGGCTTGTGCAGGAACCCAGGCCTTCCCACTCCTGATAACAAGCCTTTTTTACTCTACTTTGCTGGTTTCCTTGGGTCCCCATCACATCTTTGGGATGGTGTGTGTGAATGAGGGGGTCGGGGAGGAAGCCTTGCCCAGCCCGCTCCGCACGGGGGGCTGGGAGGTGAGACAAGAGGAGGGAAGGCACGAGGGGGGAAAGCTTGAGGAGAGAGATGCCTGCTGGGGCCTGCGAGGCCCCGACACCCACCCCTCAGCAGGGTGCTCCCTCATCCAGGGAATACTCGGAGCAGCTGTTGTGTTTGGGGGTTCCGTGGGACGAAGAGAAACAGGCACAGTGAGCAGAGAAGCTGATCTGTAGACACGAGACTGTGGGGTGGGGTGGGTGGGTGGGTGGGTGCCTCAGGGGACCTGGCTGAGATGCTCGGGAGCCTTCCCTGGGGGGAGACATGGGAGAAGTCCGAGCAGCGGGGTTAGCGGGGCGGGGGGATTGCCCATGTCCCTGGTGCCCCCGAGGGAGTGTCTGTGGAAGGCTGCTTGGCCCAGCGCTCCACATCACCTCCCTGGTTCCTCCTGACAGCCCTCAGGATAGTGCTGCATTGTCCCTGTGTCACAGATGAGGGGCTGTGTGCCTGTCTCCCTCCAAGAAAGCTCGACTCTGTCGGGGTCAGACAGTGTGATGTGTGTGGGAAGGGAGTGCCGGGGAGGGGCGGCCAGAGACCACCGCCAAGGAAATGTGTCGCTTCCTACTGTGTTAAAGGAGTCCAGAAGGGGCAAACCCCGAGGTCCCCGGCTTGGCCCTCCCTGCCCTCCAGGGACAGCTGAGCCCGGGCCCTCCTGCCCAAGAGGATGACAGGGGCAGAACGACCAACCCCTGCTTCATTAGAGTGTGGTGGAACCACCTACGGCCCGGGGAAGCTGGAAAGAATCTGGATGTCAGAGTAGGCCCCAAGTTTGAAGGGGGAACCTTACTTTAAAAGCAGAGTTATGTGATACAGACTTTGAGGTAACCTTGTGGAAAGGCCCAGTCTCAGTTCTGTGCCAGACAAGACCCTTTACGTCTCTAAGCCAGGAAGTACAGCAGAATGTGGCCTTCCTTCCTTCCCTGCCAAGGGCAGGGACTGGCCTGAGCCCCGTGTATGCCTCGGGTTCTCGTGGGGACAGAGGTCATGACAAACCCCGGGTCCGGCGCACAGTGGGGAGGCGGCAGCTGAACTCGGGCCCCAGCCATCTGAAAACCCAGCATCCGCTGGCCACAGGCCGGGTTTGGTGCTCTCGGATGGCATCCTGCCCGGGGGATGCCGGCCAGGGCAGACGCCCGTCCCGGGGCTGGCTCGGAGAAAGCAAGAGTCCCCGTGTCCCCACAGAAGCCAAAGGGGGCAGCAAAGGTGTTTCTGAGCACCCCAGGGCCTTCCTCACTGACTGGCAGGTGGGGTGTGGGGTGGGGGGCAGACAGGCCCCTCCCCCAGGCCCTGTGCCCACCCGCCACTCCGTGCCCCCGCCCCCAGGCCTGCAGAGACTTCTTGGAACTAGCGGAGATACACAGCCGGAAATGGCAGCGCGCCCTACAGTATGAGCAGGAGCAGCGCATCCACCTGGAGGAGACCATAGAGCAGCTAGCCAGGCAGCACAACAGCCTCGAACGGGCCTTCCGCAGCGCCCCCGGCCGGGCCGCCAACCCCACCAAGAGCTTCAGCGAAGGTGAGAGCGTGAGGGCTGCCCAACCCGTGCTCCGTCTGCGCCTCCCTCTGCCCGCTGGTTCTTACACAGCACCCCCATCCACAGAGCCCTTCACACGCCCACATTTGGGCCTGCCTCTGTGGCTTTGTACTTCCCACACCCACCGCCAAAGGGCAATTAGCTCCCTGCACTTAGGTTCCAGTTCTTTTTTTTTTTTTTAAGGATTATATTTATTTATTTGAGATGGAGAGATACAGAGAGAGAGAGCATGAGCAGGGGGAGAGGCAGGGGGAGAGGGAGAAGCAGACTCCCCGCTGTGGGGTTCGATCCCAGGACGCTGGGAGCATCACCTGAGCCGAAGGAGGAGACGCTTAATAGGTTCCAGTTCTCACAAGAAAAGTCTAGTGAGCCCAAGGGTCTCTCTGTGGCAGGGCTGCCCTGGTGCCAGGTGGCGGCCCACCTAGCCTTGGGCTGGGAGTGACAGGTCGGTCAGAAAGGGCAGCTAGGCCCCGGACAGACTGACCAGCATGCTGAGAGATCAGGGAGGCTTCCAGAAGGAGGCAGGCCTCTGAGCCAGAGCACTGAGCGGGAAGCTCATTCCAGGAAGGGGAGTGAGGGCAGAGCCACAGCCAGGTTAATGCGGACCAGGTGAGCGGAGTGGGGAGGGAACCAGGGGCCGGTGGAGCCAGGGGGCAGGGTCCAAAGTGGGGGGCACACTTTGGGCTCTGGGCTTCCTCAGGCAGGTGAGTGAGTTTTCAGTGTTGCAAACAGGCAGCGGTTTCTCACATATCTGCAGGAAGCCTCTTAACTCCCAAAGGAGAGGACAGTGAGGAAGATGAAGATACCGAGTACTTCGACGCCATGGAAGACTCTACATCCTTCATCACTGTGATCACTGAGGCCAAGGAGGACAGGTGCGTCCTCTCCCGGGGTTAGCCCTTCTCGCCTTGTTCTTCCTCAGCTCCACCTGTTCTTTGTGCTTCAGGTTTTCTCCCCCAAGTCTTGCTTCACGGTATATTTTGATTAGATTTCTTCTGTTCTTCCTTAGACCCAAAATGCCCACGTAAAGTTTGAATCAGGGTTTCATTTTAAATGGAGGTGGAGAACGGGGCCTCAGCTGGATCCAGTTCCAGCTGGAGGGGGTGGGGGTTGGGGCTGCCACACGAGGGCTGGGGCCTGGAAGCAGCCGCTGCTTTTCCTTGCCTGGAGCTCGGCGCAGTCCCACCCACTCCTTCCACCGCGCCAGTGTTCCAGAACAGACAGGAGATGCAGGAAGTCCCTTTTATTTTCTATTTCCAAGGCTTTGTTTCATTTTTTCATAAAAGCGTCCTCTTTCTGGATGTTTCTAAATACGCACTAGAACACAGCGGTAACCAGGACATCGTTTTCGGACTCCAGGTCCTCGGGAAGCGCCCCCGGGTGGTACAGGACTTGCGACGGGGACGGACGAGCAGGAGCTGGGGCGGGGGGGGGGAGAGGCGAGGCTGGGTCAGAGGGCAGCACCCTGGGGCTTGAACGACGATTTGCTATAATTAGGAGTTGCCTCATTAGGATCTTTTATTCTCATCACATTGCTTCAATATTCTATCGATAGAAGGGTCGTGAGTATGGCAGCATTAGGGGACACCCCTCTGCTGGGGCCTGGGGAGGAGCTGCCGCTTCAAGTCCTGGGGACAGCGACCTAAGTGACCGCAGCCTGTGCTGCCCTCTGCCACCTTCACAGAGTCACAGAGCCTCCCATGCTCCCCCACGGGTGGGCCCTCAGGCAGGGCACTCAGCCCCCCACGGATGAGGGACTCCAGGCTTCCCAGCGGCCTTACTCCCGGCATCTGATCTGCTGCCCGCCACGCCCCATGCTGCCTTCATGAAGCCCAGTCCGGGGAGGGGGAGGCCGGCAAAACCCCTGGCTGCTCCTTTTTTGCCTCTGTGGACCGACATGGGTCACCACCCCCGTGTCCTAGTTTCTCCCAGGGCAGGGGCCTTTGGGATCTCTCTAACCCCTCAGGAGTTTCTAGTCCTATCAACTGTTATTTCCAACTCAATCGTGGTTCATTTCCCAATAATATTTTAAGATTTGCTTATATTGCTCTCAAAATGAGCTTGGCTTGGCTGTTCTGACTTTCCTTTCACTTTATCACCCAGCAGTGTCACCTTTGCGGACCCCTCCGGCTCCCCACCCACCCCTCCCATATCTGGAGTCCCCAGGGGCCTGGGCTCCGCCTCCTCCTTCGTACCCCCACCCCAGCCACCTTCCACACCTCAGCCAACAGCCCCAGGCCTCTCTGCTGCCACCTGACCAGCAAGCAGGTGACCCCTGTACTCAACACTCTTCATTGGCTCCCTAGGCTCCTGACACAGCCCCAAGGCCCACACTACCACCTTCCCTGGTAGTGTAGCTCCTCTGGACTGCAGGCGGTACCTTGTCCGCAGTGACCCAGTGAATCCTTCCCATTCCCTGAGGCCCTGACTGCCAAGTGCCTGTCCCTCACCCCAGCTGGCCCAGGTCACCTGTCCTTGGGGATCCTGAGCTCAGAGCTTGGGCCGCTCAGCCATACTGCCCCCTGCTGCTCTAGCCAACCATCTCACCACAAGTATTCACAGGCACAGGCATGCATCTGACCCACTTCCTGCCCTTCTGGAACCCCAGTCTAGTGCGAGAGTCAGACCAGCAGACAGTGAGGACACAGTGGGGTCTGTCTGTGATGGAGGGGGCCCCGCCTAGGAGGCTCTGCCAGAGGAAATGGCCACTCCCAGCTTCATCCGGGTCCTGGGTCTGCCAGTCCCAGGAGGGGGCTGTATGCAGGGACCTCAGGTGACTTTGCTCGAGTGGCTGCTCCTACGGGGCATCAATGGGTGGGAGCCCCTCCAAATCACTGTCCTGGGCCCCTCAGCCCAGCTGAATGTCCCAAACTGGAGATGTCCCATTGGAGAAGCAGCTTTGGAATAGGCTGCCCCTTGCACCCCACTGAGGGGTTTGGATAGAAGGTGGCCAGGTCCCCTGGAGGCCTGAGGATTTGTAAATAACTTACCTCCCCTTTTGTGTTTCTTGCAGAAAAGCAGAGGGTGGGACCACAGGCTCAGTGGACTGGACCTCATCAGATAATGTAAGTGAGAGGGAAGACCCCAAGGGTGGCTGGAAGGCAGGCTGGCACTTTGGGCTCCAGGCTCCTGGGGTGGGCTCAGTGCCCTGGCTGCCTTCATCCTGGTCTAACCCATCAGCCAGACTGCCCCCATGCCAGCGCCATGCCAGTGGCCAGCTCGGTGCTCGGACTGCACTGGGTAGAGGTGAGGGCCAGGGCTGGGGGGCTGAAGGGGCACCCTGGCCTCCGCTCACAGGCATGTTCTCTCTGGCAGGTGCTAGATGGTGCCTCGCTTGTGCCCAAGGGCCCCCCCAAAGTCAAGAGGCGTGTCCGCATCCCTGACAAACCCAACTACAGCCTTAATCTCTGGAGCATCATGAAGAACTGCATCGGCCGGGAGCTCTCCAAGATCCCCATGCCGGTAGGGGGCTGGGGCGGGGCAGCTGCAGTGGGTCCGGGGGGCGGGGGGGCTTTTTTGTGATGGATGAGGAGGAATGGCCTCTGTGAAGTACCAGCAGCCTGGGTGTCATTTTCTTAAGGACACCTGAGGAGCATGTAACAAATTATCCAGTCGTGTTCAACGACATTGCCAAAGTCCCCTGAGAGCAGAGGTCTCAGGCTCTGAGGGAAGGAGCGAAGGAGGGGCTCTGCATTGATCAGAGATGTGGGGACCCCCACAGCGCCTCTGCACCTGACAGGGCTTCACGGTGTGCCAGCTCTCCCGACCTCATAGATGGGGAGTGGCAGGACTGGGCCCTCCTCTGGGCGGGGAGCGGTCTCTGGCGCCCACGCCGGCCAGGTCACACAGCGGGCTGAGGGCGGGGTTGGCATCTGCGTGCCACCAGGCTCTGATGGCATCTCCAGGGAGGAAGAGTTTGGGGTTCGGGCCAGACTTGGCTTCACTGTGTGCCCCGGGACAAACCCCTTCACATCTCCGGCCTCTGTGCCCACACCTGCAAAGTGGGGAGAGTAATGGCGCCCACATAACAGTGTTGGGAGGATGAAAGGGGAGAACGCAGGGCAGTCCCTGCCTGATGGCTGGCCCAGGGTCGCAGCCCAGCATGGTGAGTGACCCTGCCCTGCCCAAGGCCAGGATGGGGGGGCACCTCCAGGAGCTTTCACCAGAAAACTAGCATGATAGCTCAGAATAGGAGGAAAACCTACTCAGCCAGCCACCCATCCATCCACTCACTCACTGATTCTGACTCGGTGCCGAACAAGTCAGAAACTCTGGTCTTTGTGGCATTTACATCCTAGGAGGGGAGAGTGACAGGAACCATAGTGAGAGGGTCCGAGAGACAGCAGGTCCAAGAGCGGTGGGGGCCGGAGGTGAGCACATGGAGCCGCGGGTTCAGACAGGGCTTTAGACAGGGTCATCAGAGGATCCTGACTGTGAAGGTGCCATCTGAGCGGCAGTGTCCACGAACCCCTGAGGAGAACAAGGGTGCCGTGCCGACGCCAGGCCCGCGCTGGGAGCAGCGCCTGACGGCCGCCTGTCCACAGGTCAACTTTAACGAGCCCCTGTCCATGCTCCAGCGGCTGACGGAGGACCTGGAGTACCACCACCTGCTGGACAAGGCGGTGCACTGCACCAGCTCGGCGGAGCAGATGTGCCTGGTGGCCGCCTTCTCTGTGTCCTCCTACTCCACCACTGTGCACCGCATCGCCAAGCCCTTCAACCCCATGCTGGGGGAGACCTTTGAGCTGGACCGCCTCGATGACATGGGCCTGCGCTCCCTCTGCGAGCAGGTGAGGCCCACGCACGCTCTGGCCAAGCCACTCCTGCTAGGCCTGGGGGTCCTAGCGAGACGAATGGGACGCGGCCTCTGTCCCTGACATGCCCGTGCCCACAGGGCCAAGACGAGGTCCAGTCAGCAGCTGGGCCTCCTGCAGCAGGGGCAGGTCTCCCGGAGACAGCCGGGTGAGGACAGAGTCAGGGCTGGTGTGTGGGGAAGGGGAGGGCCCCCCCCCTCCGTCAGGAACCATGCAGCAACCCTCGAGGGACATGTATGCGGTGCTATCGGGGAGTCCAGGTGGACCAGAGCGGCGGAGGTGGCAGGCAGAGGGGAGCCCGCGCCGTGTGGGCACCCTGGTCAGTGATGGTACAGGCCTGGAATGTGAGGAGCTTCTCGGGTCCAGAGGTCCTGCCCTGGGGGGCGGCGAGGTCAGCTCGCCCCATCCCTTCTCTATGCCTTCCCCACAGAGATGCATATTCTCCTCACGGAGCAAAACCAAACCCAGGCCCTGGGGTCTGGGAGCCTCCACAGTAGCATCTCAGCCTGAGCTTTGGCGCCCTTGTCTGAAGGGGTGATTCTGTTGGTACCTCCCTGGGTGCTGGGAGGACCCAGTTAAGTGCTGCGTGAAGGCACCCAACATAGAGCTTCCCAGGTGGGCTGCTGGACATGAGCCGTGGGCCAGGCTCTGTTCTGGGCCTGGGGTGGAGCTCAGAAAGCAGACGTTTCACAGTCTGGTGGCTAGTTGAAAAGGCGTGCTCTGGCTGCAGTGTAGCCCTACAGGAAGCTGGTTAGGGTGGCCACACCAGGGGGACGTGGGAGGGCAGAGCGCAAGCTGCTTAGAAAGTAGAGCCTAGGGATTTGCTAATGCTTTGGATGTGGGGAGAGAGGACAAAGGAGGGAGGGAGAGAGGCAAGGGAAAGTAGCAAGGATGACCCTGGCGTTCTTGGCCTGAACTACTGAGTGAATTCACTTCTTCATTCAATAGAGTTGACCAAGTACCCCCAAAAGCGCCAGGTGCTATACAGGCAGCAGCTGGGAAGTGAGCGGATGGGGTGCCTGTTCTCCTGAGGGGGGCAGTGAGGGACAGGTGCTGTGTATGACAGATGGTTCTGGCTCCTTCAGAAAGCTGGCTAAAGCCCAGAGTGAGGGAGAAAGGAGCGCACAGGTCAGACAGGGAGTGGGCAGGCAGCCTGAGGCCTCTGGTTTCACTCTGTGTGGCAGGTGGAGGAGTCAGGACACCGGCCTTGTTTTATGCCCCCACCCCCCAACCCCTGCAGCAGAGAGTAAAGCCTACAGACGCTCTGCGCCACCCACTGTGGCCTGGTGAAGGGGAGGGGTGGCTCCTAGATGCATTTTGAAGAAAAGAACAGCCTAGATTTGCTAAGGATTAGAGCAGGCACACAAGAAAGAGGGCCAGGGATGACTCCAAAGCATTTGGTGTGAGCAGCTGTTAAGACTAGGTCATCGGCCTGAGCAGGAAGCCATGACGCAGAGCGCCAGAGCCAGCCCCTTGGGGTCCCATCCCTGAGTTTGCCAGTGTGCTGGGCTCTAGGGCACATGGGGCGCTGGCCTTGGGCGACAAGGAATGGTTGGCGGGTTTGACCTGGGACTCAAACCCAAAAGGCAGTGAGGTATATCACTGATGGTGACAGGAGGCAATGAGCAATGCATGCGGGCGCGGCAGGAACTCTGGTCAGTCCAAAGAGCCGCCGGAGTGGAAGCATCCAGTGGGCAGCTGGAGCGCACGGTGCCAGTCCCAGCGCAAGGCTGGGGCCGGAGCCTGACTGAGGCTGTGACTCAGCGAAGAGGTGCCCTAGGGAGTGAGGAAGCTGGGGAGAGGCTGGGCCCCAGGACCTGCGACCAAAGGAGCCACAGAAATGAGGAAGAACAAACAAGGGGAAGTTGACAGGGGCGTACTAGCAGGTGAGACAGCCATCAGGGGCGCCCAGTGCCGTGAGAGGAGGCGGGAGGTGCTAGGGGGCCCCCGCGGGGCTGTGCAGAGCTTGCTGCACCACCCTCCGCGGACTCCTGCTCTGTAGCCAGGCTGCCCAGGAGGGAGGCAGGGCCCAACGCTGCCACTCAGTTCAAATGGCTTCCCCGACCTGGGCCCCCTGTGCAACATGGCCCTTTGCGGATGAGTGGGGCGGCCACCTGGAGAGTGGGCACAGAAGCCCTCGCTAGAGCATCACACCTCACTTCCTAGCCCTCAGCACAGCTTGTCACAGGGGCCTCCTTGAGGCCAGGCTCTGTCGTCACCCCATTTCAGAGCCCAAGTCCAGCGGAGAGATGCCTCGGCCCCCTTCTCCCAACCACAGCAAGCCCAGGACAGCCGCCCAGGCTGGTCCCACTGCCGCACCCTTGCTTTTCCACTCAGAGCACCGTCCTTCCCGGGGGCCTGCTCCCAGGGCCATGGAGCTGGTCGTGCTGAGCACAGGGCAGGCTGTCCCCCCCACTTAGCTGGATGGGGAGCAGGCCTGGGTCCACGTCCAGCAGACGCTCATGTCCTATGGGTCTGGTCTCAGGTGAGCCACCACCCACCATCAGCTGCACACTACGTGTTCTCCAAGCATGGCTGGAGCCTCTGGCAGGAGATCACCATCTCCAGCAAGTTCCGGGGAAAATACCTCTCCATCATGCCTCTAGGTGAGCTGGAGCCCTGTGCTCTCCCAGGACAGAAAGACATTCGGGATAAGGGGGAGGGTTTTACCAACCCAGAAGCCAGCTTGGGGCCTCCAGGAGTGACAGTCTCTCTGCAAATCTGTTCCCCACCTCCCCAGGCTTCCTGGATGCCTCCCTGGCCTATATCCTGTCCCCAGTCGACATGAATACTGCTTCCAGTTGTCAGGACCCTGGGACTGTGAGCAGGCAGGCTGGCTGGGGTCTAGCATGGCAAACCATGACCTCTGACCCTATATCTGGCCTTTAGGTGCCATCCACTTAGAATTCCAGGCCAGTGGGAATCACTACGTGTGGAGGAAGAGCACCTCGACTGTACATAACATCATTGTGGGCAAGCTCTGGATCGACCAGGTCAGGCGGTGCCCTCAGGGAGGGGGGGCGTGTGGCCTCGAAGTGGGCCACTGACCACTACCCTCCCTCACCAGACAGGGGACATCGAGATTGTGAACCATAAGACCCAGGACCGGTGCCAGCTGAAGTTCTTGCCCTACAGCTACTTCTCCAAAGAGGTAGCCCGGAAGGTAAGCAAGGCCACCTCTTGGAGCGTTGGGGGGGCCTGGGGTGGGGCGTGTGCCTATGCCAATCCTGCCCATGTCCACAGGTGACAGGAGTGGTGAGTGACAGCCACGGCAAAGCCCACTACGTGCTGTCAGGCTCGTGGGATGAACAGATGGAGTGCGCCAAGATTGTGCAAAGCAGCCCCAGCAGCCCCGGCTCGGATGGGAAGCAGAAGACAGTGTACCAGACGCTTCCAGCCAAGCTGTTGTGGAAGAAGTACCCGCTGCCGTGAGTGGGGCTGCAGGGCGGGTAAAGAGCAGGCAGGGAGCGGGAAACAGAGGCAAGGGGCAGAGGACAGGCCAGGGAGCCTGCCCGGCCAGGCAAGAAGCAAGCAGCAGGCACTGGGGTCGGGACGGTTCTGTCCCCATGCAGGCAGAGACGGTGTTCTGCAGCTGACATCCCAGTGTGGGAGCCAGACACTCGGCCGTAAATAAGCGTGACCTTATCCGGTGGTAGCAAGTTCTATGCAGACTTTAAACAGGCTGATAAGGACAGAGTCCCCACAGTCCAAGGAATGAAAACCAAATGTGAAAATCAGTGCAAGAAACAGAAAACTATAAAAAGTGACACAGCAGGTTCCAAAGAGAGCAAAACAAATTCTACAAAGGAAAAATTAAGTAACTGAACTTGAGAACTCCAATTGGGAAGGTTTAATACAATCCATCAACAGAAGAAAAGAAACACTTAAATAGAGAGACAAAACCTGGCAAAGACAAAAAGCTAACAGAGAGAAAGCTTACCACCTAGTGACCCAGAGGGAGTCCCTGGAGCAGCATCACCAGCAGCCCTGGGAGCCCATAAGAGTGAGAATCTCAGGAAGATCCCGAGGGCAGCCATGCGCACGTCAGGTTTGAAAGCAGGGTCTAGGGTACTTCTAGTCAGAGTCTAGAAAGAAAGAGACCATATCTGAAGAGCAAACAGAAAAGAATCTTCCACACCAAATCTATACAGTGGAACTGTTGAAACTAAATCAAAGAGTTGTGAAAAAGACCTGTATGACTTTCTGAGGAATAGCAGACTGACAGCGGTCTCTTCCTCAGCAAAGATGGAAGCTTGAAGACGGTCAAATGAGATCTTCCATGTGCAGAAAGACTCACTGCCAGCCGATGATTATACACCCAGCAAGAACATGTTTACAGAGTGTTGAAATATTTTATTTTCAGACTAATAAAAACTCATTTTGCCACCAGCAGACCCACATTAAAGGATATACCTCCTGCAGAAGGAAAGTGATCCCAGATGGAAGATCTGAGATGTGTGAATGAATGAAGAACAAAAACTATGTGAACCTAAGTGAACAGTAAATAAGAATAGAAATGTCTTGCGGGTTTTAGAATCTAAACAAAATACAACTGTGTGATCATATAAGTCAGAAGAGGGATAAATGGAAGGAAACTTCTCAAAGGCCTTTGTGCAACTCAAGAAGGTCAAGATGTGCGGTAACTTTTGGCTATGTGAAGTCTGCATAATTCCTAGAACAACCACTAAAATAATGTTTAACTGGAATCCTGGAAGGGAAAGAAAGAAATAAAAATGGAAAGGAAAGAGAAATAGTTAAATAATGGAGATAAATTTCCCAGAATAAAAACAGAGATGGGAGACCTTGAGTTGAAGGGCCTGTGGAGTTCCAGAGACAAGAGATAAAGAAAAGCTTTCACCAAGACCACACTATAGTGAAAATTAAAAATGCCAAAGAGAAAATTCTAGTAGCTTCAAGAGAGGAGTACAAGCAGATTACAATGAAGGATAAAGAATCAGATTGACAGGGGCGCCTGGGTGGCTCAGTCGTTAAGCGTCTGCCTTCGGCTCAGGTCATGATCCCAGAGTCCTGGGATCGAGCCCCACATCAGGCTCCCTGCTCAGCAGGAAGCCTGCTTCTCGCTCTTCCGCTCCCCCTGCTTGTGTTCCTTCTCACGCTATGTCTCTGTCAAATAAATAAAATCTTTAAAAAAAAAAAAAAAAGAATCAGATTGGCAATCAGAAAGATTGACATCTTTCAATAGCCAATGTTTGGAGTAATATTTTCAAGTAATGAAGAAAGCAAAATTAGAAGATTAAGATTTTTATCCAGACAAGCTATCATTTAATAATGAGCACATAACAACAACAACAACAAATGTCGTCAGGCAAACAGCCTCAGAAGGTTTGCCACACAAAACCCACAACGAAAATGGTATTAGACATAGTAGTTTGTTTATTTATTTTAGAGAGAGAGAGCAAACGGGTGGGGCAGGGGAGGGAGAGAGACAATCTTTTTTTTTTT